GATTCAAAAGACTAGAAAAGACTGGCTTTGTCAATAGACACATCCCACTGGGAAATCAAACATGGCGGTTTGAAGCTCACTTTTTCGGAAAATCCTTCCCAGTATGCATTGCGCGATGACCTTCAGTCTAAAATTCGTGATGCATGAATTTGACAAACCTCATGCAAGATGCAGTAGTTTCATTAGTGGGATGCATGCTGATTATGTTGTGATAGCACTCTGAAGGGGGAGTGACATAGCACGGAGAGCAGAGGGAGGGGATACTCAGAGCATCAAAAACAAAAGTGAAATTTATAAAAGATGTTAATACATTGTTTTTGCCAAATATAGCATTTTTTAAAACAATAAACCCCCCCTTGAAACCACTGGAGTCTTACAGTCTACAGCATCTGACATCTGATTCATCTCATGACTCAGGTGCACTGCTTGCACACTTCTACTTTTAACCTTACCAATATGGCACCTGACTTCTCACTGACCTCTCAACGTCCGACCTCTCTAATATGGCACCTGACTTTCCCTGCCTGCACACGCATCTAACCTTACCAATATGGCACCTGTGACAACTGACATTTGGCTTCATCTTCTCTCGTCACATACATCTCCGCTTTAACAACTATAAAAATGACACATGACCTGACTCACCCAACATGGCCGACAGCTCTCACATGTCTCTGCAGTCTACTCTAGCGTAGCATGTTGTTATTTACGCTAGCGCCCTTTAGCCATTAGCTCGAGTGAACCATGACGCTAACGCTCACTCCGCCGTCATGGGAGATTTATTTTACATGATCACATTTGCATTGCTAACAACTCAATTCAATTATATAAGAGTTTGCACATTATTATCTATGATGAGATAAATTAGCAGCACTTAAGCGTTGCTAAGTAGTTCAAAAATAATAATAATAACATCTGAAATTGGAAAGTTCTTGGAATTAGTTTCTAAACTTGAATAACTTTACTTTCAGTGTTGTCCAAGGATTTTCAAAAGCTCATGAATTTTTTAAAAGCTTGTTACAAAGTGTACAAGGACGCTGTTTATTTCTGAACAAAAGTTTGTTTACCTTGGGCTAAACTTTGATTTGGAAATAGAAATGTGGTCAAAAGATATAAATTTTCAGGTTCAGGCCTAGAGCAGTGTCCACTAACTCAATTCCTCTTACTGTATGTTGACATTTCACTATAACCACATTAAGTCAATTTAATCCTGGCTTAGTCCTCATTTAGTTCAAGTTTAGTCCTAATATATATAGGGCTGGTTTAAGTTTAACTCATGCATTAGTGTGAGTTTAGACATTATTTAGTTCATATTAAGATGCTGTACATGAAAAAATTGTTCATTTTAAAGTTCAGAGTTATTCCTCACTTACCTTGTGCATTCCAAGCATCCTAATTATTCACCATGATGAGTTTGCGAGCGCTTTTCACAACTTTCAGAGACCAGAGCAGTTTTGCCTGGACCATATTAATGTGCACATCCTGATTCTAAAAAATCTTTTATAATCGACATAACATAGCAGACTTACACTGGAAAAAAACAATATCTAGGTAAGTTAAAATTACTTAAATTAAGAACATTTGGACTTTATTTGAGTAGATTCAATTTGACAAGTAAAATTATCTACCAATGGAACAAGTTTGTTTTTCTTAATTCAAGCAACTTTCGATTTTGTTTCTTATTTTAAGTGCAAAAAGTTGTTTTTCTTATTTTAAGTGTAGCAAGATGTGTTTTCATATTTTAAGTACAAAAGTCTTGTTTTACTTGTCAAATTAAATTTATTCAAATCATGATAAAATTTTCTTTAATTCAAATCACCTTAACTTGACTAGATTTTCTTGTTTGCCATGTATTTTGACCTCAAGAGCTGCTTATACAATATATCTTTTTTGGAGCAAGAGACATTTTGCTCAAACACTTAAGAAAAACATATCAGGTATGGGCCTTTAAATCCTGGTTTAAATATTCATTATTATATATATTTTTTTTTCCCCCTAATTTTTTTCCAAATTTTTTTTTCCTAATGAGTTTTGGTTCTGTTGAGTCCTCGTTTAGTTTTGGTTTAGATGGTTTGTAGTCTTGGTTTTGTCCTGGTCTAGTCCTGGTTGAGTTCTTTTCCAGTACTTTTTCTCAGTCCTTGTGTAGCCCCTTCTGTTTGGCTCATCTGTCAAACCAAGTTTCAGAACATTTTGTTTATTTACCACAGCCCTTGTTTTTAAGTCAACTCCTTTGTGGTCTCATATTGAACAATGTCTGTATTTGTTTTGTTATTTATCATCGTGTGAATGCCAAAACAGTTGAGCAGTGACAGGAGCAGTGACAGGAGCAGTGACAGGAGCAGTGGCAGGAGCATGAGGAAAGCTTTATGTACAAACAGCTTTATTTTGAGTCCAGGAAATCCAGGTCTAGAGGCGGTCTCCTGGGGTGATGTAGCACGTCTGAAATGGCAAAGGCAAGTTCTGTGATCCTGAAAGCAACAAGAGAAAAAGAGCGAGACAGAGAGAGAGAAAAAGGAAGAGATGGAGTCAGGGAGGGGGAGAGAGAGAGACAGGGAGGGGCAAGAGAACGTGAGGAGATAGAAGGAGGGAGAGAGGGAGGAGGGGTGGTCAAGGAGTGGGCAAAGGCAGTGAGGGGAGAACAGGAAATAGAGGGGAGGGGGAGAGAGAGAACTATAGGGAGAAGAGGAGGGAGAGAAGGGGGTAGATAGAGGAAGTATGGCTAAGAAGAGAGAGAAGGAGAGAGAGTGGGGGAGAAAGAAGGGAGAGAGGTAGATAGCTACATAGAAGAGCGAAAGAGAGTGCCTGAGAAACGGGAGAGGGAGAAGATGGGAGAGAGATTCATGAAAAAGAAAAGGGACGTAAGGGAAGAGGAGAAAGAGAAAGAAAAGAGGGAAATTAAATAAATAAAAAGAGGGTGGGAGACAGGGAAGAGGGAGAACAGAGGCAGACAGACACGAGAGAGAGGGAGAGAAGAGTTGGGCTTAAGAGACAGAGGTGAGACATAGTTCATTTTTGGAATAGCTCCTGTATTTTCCCAAATGACAAACACAGAGAGGTTTTGGGGTCAGCGAGCTTTAACTGACATTTAGAGACATCTACATAATATAAAGTGTACAACATCATTCCTCATCCAGGCCTGCTCAAAGCAAAGGTTTAAAAAAAAAAAATCCAGTTTTCATTTAATCTACACTTTCATGAATTAAATTGATCTTTTTAAAGAGGGGGCATTACACTTCTACAGGGTATGAACTGCACACGCATGCTTAAGGTCACCACTTTGTTTTTATAAATGCTATGTTCACCTAGCCCGATTCATCAGCCGGTTTCTACAAACCACAGTGTTAGAATTCAATCGCTCGACGGTAGGCAGGTACTTTTTATCATTTAATCAATCGCTGCTATTCACGTATGTAATGCGCCGCTAACGGGGCTAACTGGTATATTAAGCTTTTTCCAAATCCCGTAGGAATAAGGACAATAACATCTTTCCCCTTGATGAAATTCACCAAACATTCTTTTTATTCCGGTTTTAAATCCTCGATCTCGGGAATCGTTGACAAAACTGAATATATGGCTCTTCGCTGATTGGCTGGTGCCCGAACTTGCACTTCTGGGGTTTTTGCCAACAGTCTATTGTCTTTTGATTCCTGACCTAGTCGCTGGAGAGAAATGAAACTGAGTGGAGGCACTAGGTGGCGCCAGACTGGCTAACGTTCACCGAAAAGACTTTCACTTTTATTTTTGATGCTTTTCTGTCCCACCTCTATTTGTTCTCCATGCTGTCACCTTTCAAAGCTCTATCACATTACAATCATAGACGTAAAGAAGTGAACTAAGTGTGATGTTACCATAGCATCCAGCTCTACTCAGATGAAGCTGGCGATGCTTAGGAGCGATTTTCAAGCCAGTCCAACTGTAGCATATCTTACACTAGGCTAAATGCAGTTCATTTTATGAGCTGAATCAATTGAACAGGGTCTGTTTAGTTAAGAGTCTAAACTTTACACCACTGTATTAATGGACCAAGGAACAAACAAACCAATTGTGTCGCTACTTAGTCAATCAAATCTATGCATTTAAGGCGATCACAGTTCTGAATGCAGACACAGTCAGAGAAGAGAGGTTTTGAGATATCTGTTGAAAAATGTATTGAGACTGTTAAGTTGAGATGTGAAAGCTAAAGAAAAAAGGAAACTCAAGCTGCTATTTTTTTTCCTGAAATTAAGCAATTTTAAGATGCACAATTTAGCCATTATTTATTTTCTCTAAAACTGCAGCCCTATATCTAATGTAGGCCTACTGTGTGTTTCACTGTAGATTTTGTTGAAATGTTTTTAACTTGTATTGTCATTGATTTGACAGTCTATTGTTCATACATTCAGACATTGATAAAACTAGGCTACTTCTGTATCACCAGCATTACACAGGTTAGACATTATGATGTCCTGGACGTCTGCTTGAGGAGATTTTCTTTAACCAGACCTCCTCAAATTTTATTTGAATATGAATATGAATATAAAAGCAATAGGATTTTTTTTAACAGACAAAATAGTGAAATAAAAACACCGGGATCATGTAGAGAGGGTTAATATGAACATTTTAAAACCAAAATGATGGGGCTCACAGCAGCACTTACAGAAAGAGGGGCAACAATATTCCAGTGTCAGCCAATGGGAGCAAGGGTCAGTAGTGTGTTTTTATTTTGTTTTTTTGTATCATGCTTCTGTATATGTATGGTAAATTGCTGTACGGGGGCATGAGTGATGTAGGCTTGTGAGCCAAGTCTTACACTGGATTGTACTTCTAACCAGGAGTGATCTCTTGATTACTCATACATGCATGGATGATATATAAAACCACTGTATTGATCAATAAACAGGACATGTCTTTAGTCGACTTGAGTAGGAAGTCAATTTGATGATAGTTAATGAGGATCCAAATAAACAAACAAATAAACTGACTTTTCCTTCTCCTCCTTCTCCTCTCTTGTTTCTACACAGTGTTTGTTGGTGTAAGGAGCTGGACAGTGCTCGCTCACGGCAAGTCCCCATGTCCCCCTCGGACTTCCTGGACAAACTCATGGGAAGAACGTCTGGATACGACGCTCGCATCAGACCCAACTTTAAAGGTAAACTTCAACCTTTTTTATATATGAGCTGCATTGTACTTTCTCATGATCAGTAGAGACAAAACTCCAGATCAGGTCCACAAGAAGGAGACAAGATTTTCATATCAAACAAGAAACACAAATCACTTAATATTGTCAACATAGAGCTTTTGTCACTTGTCACTTATTCACTGATTATTATGCTCAAATCATTCTATAACTGTTTGTGTGTTTGATTCTTGCAGGCCCTCCCGTCAATGTGTCCTGCAACATCTTCATCAACAGTTTTGGCTCCATCGCTGAGACCACCATGGTAAGAAAGAAAAGGGTTTTTATTTCAACATTTGTTTAAAGTAAAATGAACTGGATATTTTTATTAACCTGACAGAAGCTGGATTGGTATGTGAGCTGAGAAATCAAACTTTTGCCAAGTGCAGTAGTGTGCAGCTTCCAGTCCTTCAGTGTAAAACACTGCTTTTAAAAATACATCACTGACTTTGTCCAGTTACGTCAATAAAACCATGTCAGTGCTTGGCTGTTGTGTGAAATTCAAGCTGACAGAAAAGATCAGATGAATATGACGGAAGAGGAGGAGGCTTCTGCTGCACCTGAACTGACTTGGCAGGCATTCTTGTTTTAGTTCTGGTTTGGTACTTGTTTAATTCTGGTTCAGTTCTGGTTCAGTCCTGGTTTAGTCTTGGTTTAGTCCTGTTTTAGTTTTGTTTAGTCCTAGTTTAGTTCTGGTGCAGTTCTGCTTTAAACCTGGTTTAGTCCTGGTTCAGTCCTAGTTGAATCCTAGTTTAGTCCTGGTTTAATCTCGTTTTAGCCTTGTTTCTGGTTCAGAACTGTTTAGTCCTTGTTTAGTCCTTGGTTTAGTCCTGGTTCAGTCCTGGTTCACTTCTGGTTTAGTCCTGCTTTAGTCCCAGGTCAGTGCTGGTTTAGTCCTGGTTTAGTCCTTGTTTAGTTCTAGTTTAGTCCTAGTTTAGTTCTGGTTTAATCCTAGTTTAGTCCTGGTTCAGCTCTGATTTAGTCTTGGTTCAGTCCTGGTTCAGTCCTGGTTTAGTCCTGGTTTAGTTCTAGTTTATTCCTAGTTTAGTTGTGGTTTAGCTCTGGTTTAGTCCTAGTTTATTCCTGGTTCAGTCCTGGTTTAGTCCTGGTTTAGTCCTAGTTTATTCCTGGTTCAGTCCTGGTTTAGTCCTGGTTTAGTCCTAGTTTAGTCCTGGTTCAGTTCTGGTTTAATCCTGGTTTAGTCCTAGTTTAGTCCTGGTTCAGTCTTGGTTTAATCCTGGTTTAGTCCTAGTTTAGTCCTGGTTCAGCTCTGATTTAATCTTGGTTCAGTCTTGGTTCAGTTCTGTTTTAGTCCTGGTCCTTCTTCTAGCTCCCCTGCCAGTTGTGGTGAACAGATGTACACAGGAATAGCAGATGGTTTAGTCTTGGTTTAGTTCTGGTTCAGTCCTAGTTTAGTCCTGGTTTAGTCCTAGCTCCCCTGACACAGATGCGACTGGACAGACGTACACAGGAATAGCAGATTTGGAGCTGAGACGAAGACTCGCTCTGACAGATAATAACTGGAGCTCACACACACGACCGCCCCTACGCTGCCCCCTACACTCCAACTGGCACCTCTGACAATGACAGAAAAAAAAGGTGTATTTCAAGATTCCTTTCTTCTTCCAGTACTATAACCTGTCCATATTTTTAGAACTGTTCAAAAAAGAGTGGACTGGAATTAAACACAAATGTAGAAATATCACCTTATATCCAGTGAATCGAATTGCTTATATGCAGATAACTGGAACATGTGTAAACAAAACAAATAAAAAAGTGGAAGTCAGAATAACTTCAGGGTTAAACCTTCAGTATCCAGTATAGTATCACATGTCAATGAGTATCATATGGGACTTTAGCTTTGTTTCCTTGGGGCCATGTGTCAGTCCAGGATTAGTCCTTTGTCTCCTGTCCATCTGCTCCCGTTTTCTCAGGCTCAAGTAGTGACATAATCCACCAAATGTATAAAATATAGACCCACATATACTACGACTAAATAAGGACTATACTAGGACTAAACTGGGACTAAACCAGGACTGAACCAGGACTAAACCAGGACTATAGCAGGACAAAATCAAGACTAAACCAGGACTACACCAAGACTAAATTGTACTGCTCGTTTTCATTCAAATGCATGGGGGTGTTGATCAGACACGACAGTCCAGTTTGGGGATGTTCCCGTCAGTCCAGTATCTTCAGTGTGTGTAATGTGTCTTTCAGCTGCAGAGACATTGGAAACATTCATCATGACATCTATAAATGTGCAGAGTTTAGTGTTGACTGTTGAATCTGCATAAATCTGTGCTGTTTTTCAATCTTGTTTTCACCTTTCATCCTTGTAACCCCAGGCTCAGACTGAATACGTGCAGCTCCAGTGGCACTCCAGATTCTTTTTCAGAGCCTTTTGCCTTAATAAACAAATAGTTACTGGTGAACACTTGGCCCCTATGTGACCTGTATCTGATCTTTTAATGACAGTCTGAACGACACAGATACGATTTTTTCAAATGTGACCTAGGCCACTTTAATATGTGGTCCTGAAACCGATACATATCAGATCTTTTGACATGCGACTTCAGTCTGAACGACCAAAGCGCATTCATCAGACCTACACGTTATCAACAAGCCACAAACGTCACTATTCTGCGCTGAAGTAGGTGAAAATTGTTAATGAACTCCATGTCACTGAAGCGAAGCACATCACCACTCACCACTCTTGGCTACGTCTCCGCATCCACACGTTCCTTTCAACGGACGTTGCTGCCACTGTCCCACAAAACACCACGGCCAAAAACCTCGTCCTTCTCCTTCTCAATCTCTTCCTTACAACAAGTAAGTTGTTCATGTTCTGGCTCTGGTACGAGAGAAACTTTAAAATCTCCAGGTGCTCAATGCTGCGTCCATGTTTGGACAACTTCCGTAAACACAGAGCACGCTCACTGCGGTTGATGTCATCGTGTCCTCCAGTGCACATGCGGGACACATTTGGGCCGTTTAATGTTCACACTGGAGATCACATACAAGTCGCATTTAATTGGAAATGTGAACGACCTCGCAAAAACATCGGACTTCACAAAAAAATCCGAATTGAGCGTTAAGCCCTGCAGTCTGAACGTAGCCTTAGTCTCGCTTATTCAGTTGTCAAAGGCGGTGACCACATCAGCACAGTAGAGCTCTGGTCTTCATATGATGGTCACATCTCATGAGACTGGTTTCACACTGGAGCAGCAGCTGGACCAGGCACAGTCTGAGTGAGGCCCACATTACTGAAATTGACTTGAACACGTGTTCCTCTAATTAGTGCAGCTATCATCTGTCCATTCACGAAAAGAGGTGGTTTTCAGCAATGGCTTTGTAAGGGCAAAGACTAAACTAGATCTAAATCAGGACTAAACCAGGACTGCATATATATAAACATATAAGTGGGTTTGAATAATTAAAGTTGAACTAAACTATGGGACCAAAGCATGACTACAAAAGGTAAACCATGGACGAGGTCTGCACCAGGACTAGAAAAGGGTGCTGTGTAAAAGCCTGACCTTGTTTGAGTTAAGCTCTGAAAACAAAAGTGGTAGATGTGGTTCAGAGAGGAGCAGGTTAAACAGATTTACTGCTCTTAGAACGGACTCTCATTTGTTCATCTGCTTTAATCTGTTCTGTTGGTATTAGTCTGCACAGAGAGAGAGGGAGAGAAAAGAGAAGGAATCAACACAGGGAGAGATAGAAGGGAGAGAAAGGGAGAAAAAAAGAGATGAAGGAAGAATGGAGAGATAAGAGACAGAGAGAAAAGAGAGGGGTGTGAAGGAAAAGAGAAGGGGAAAGAGTGGTGAGAGTAAGGGTAGAGAGAGGGGATAATGAGAAAGATCACAGAGAGGGATGGAAAGAGCGATGGAGAGATGAGAAGATTGTGAGCCAGGAGTAAAACTAAACCTGTACTAGCCATGACTAAACCTGGGCTAGACCGTGACTAAGCCCAGACTAAACCAGGACAAATGTGAAGCCCGTGCGTATATTTTAAGAGCACTCATCCCTGTAGTTTAGCCCTTTGGCTCAGTCTGACAGATGTGATGTCAGCTGACCCTCCTGACAGATTTACTCAGGTTTTCCCCAAATGAATTCTCTCGTAGTTTTTATCAGACATTTCACTAACATTTACTATCACATAATCACATTAGCAATGTCTTATATAAGCCCATTTATTCGACTATCATGGTAATATAGTTGTAATTTAATTCTAAAAAAGCCCAATTAATGCATAACTTAAGTATAAATTAGTGCTGTCACAATACTAAACTTTCAAATTCAATTTCAATACTAATAAATAGACTCAGTAATGCTGATTTTCATACCACAATGATATTAAACAGGCTTTATTTTAACAATAGAATATGATTTTAAACAAGTTCTTTCTTTTAAAGTAGAAAAATGATGGCAGAGGCACTCTGATTTGCGGTGAATTTATTCAAAGTCACGCCAACGCGTTTCGACTACTTGGTCTTCATCAGGGCTAAAGTTCTTTCTTTTATTACCTTGTGGTGTTATATTTGTATAATCCCTCTGTTATTCTGTTCCATAGGTGTATACTAGGGCCCGTTCACACTAGTACGTATTCGAGTTGTTTTCGTTGTGGATGCAGTGTTCATCCACACTAATCCGATTGAAAACGGCTCCAGAGATGGAACGATCTGGTGCCGCCAGCTCCCACGAATTTATCAGAGTATGGATCTGATCTGGCACTGTGTGGATGCCTGAAAACGCTGATACGCTGATGTAGGTCTATGCGCAGTGAAGTAATTCATCGCCAAAACGCTAAAGAGGCTAAAATATATGTCCATTCATGTATACGGTCTATGCGTACCACCTGCAGACATATAATCTCTGAAAAGTTTAATATGAACCATCTCTAATGTGATAGAAGCACAGAACAGACTCACCATCAGCAAAACATCATTCTGTCACAGAAAGAACACATATATAATCCACTGAGTCATGTCCTTTAGTCCGACACAAGCTGAACGGCATCAGTGCACAATAGTGAGCTGTTTTTTGAGCTCTCAGTTTATGCAAATTAGCCATGCGGTTTTAAGTTTAGTTTCTGTAAAACGTAAACAGATATGCTCAGAGATGTGTGGATAGGGAAGGCTTGCGGACACAGAAACAGCGTGTCTGGATGCAGATCGTTTCTGTTACAGTGATACGGTGATACAGTGATTTGTTTCAGTGTAAACGTAGCCCTAGTCTTTGTGCTCTTATACTTGTTCTGAT